CAACAGCAAGGTTTGGTGTTTACACGCTTCCGATCTGTTCTGGGTTGCCACAGCAACTCACCCCGGCACAGTTTCTTCGTCCCGTGTGCAGCTGCGTTCCAGTCTTGCCTTCCTCTGGCACGTGGTCTTAATGCTGTCTGTACCCTGGCCTGCTGCGTTCCTGCTTTGTAGTTCTCCCAACTGCTCCACCTTCTTGTATGTTGCTAACACTTCACTGGGAACTTACACTCCCCAGAATATACCCAACAACAGTGGATACCCCCAAAAAGACCTTTGAGTCGCCAGAATAGATGTTACCCAAGAAAAGTTTCTAAGGCCCTTGCTCTGAGCTTATTTCTCTTCTTCCACCTTTAAGGCAAAGTTAGGGTTTCTAGAGCCTGCAATACATCTGAAGTAGGAAGGGGAACTATTCTTGGCAGCATACTGAAAGCTCAAAAAGTGACTATTGATCCCTGAATAGCAAGGAACAGGGTAGCAACCATGCAAGAAATGGATGCAAGAACTCAGGTTTCAGAACAGCCTGGGCCTATTCATGTCAGAGCAGGCTCTTTCATGCACTTCAGTAGGTCATAGAGCCGTTGTTACTTTAAAATAATACGGCCCAGATAACCAAGAAAATGTCAGCTCATACTCAGTTTAGGGAAACAAAATAACGTGTTTAATTCTCAATTTTGAGCATTCCAAATAGTTAAGGGTTTTAGTGCCTAAAGAGGTGCAGGCTTAGCAATCCAGAACTTATTTGTGAGTGCCTAGATCATTTGGATCTACTCTACTGTATTCTTTCCATTCATTCTTGCCTTTCCTAAGCATTTAAAAGCCAAAGATTTAAGGCACTTGAATGTCTATGCTACATACTCTCTAGTACTTGCTGCTAACCTGGGTTGGTTCTGTCCCTGCCAACTTTCTGCCCATGTGGTACATAGGACACTTGATCTTCCGTCTGACTGTGGAGGGGTCACAGATGGCTCCCTCACTCTTGAGCGACTAACTCTATCTTACTTCACCTCAGGCAGCTAGAAAATAATCATTATATGCCACTCCCCCCACCTCACCCCCCCCATTGTATGTTCCATAAACTCTGCTTGGCATGTGGGAGGGAGGCACTTAGTAAACATTTATCAAGTATGTGGATGAAGAGGAATGCGCCGTCACAGTCTGTCTGTGGAATTAACTCCATGAATGAAACTCTAGAAGGCGCCGAGGTACTTCAAAAGAGGCTGGGGGGTTGGGGGAGGGATGAGACTCTAAATTGGAGACAGAGCCTTGCCATCGGGGAAACAGCTTTCAAAGAATACCAACAAAACCTGGCATCAAGATCAAAGGGTTAAATATTGTTTTTGTGACGGTGGGGGGGGTGGGGGACGGACAATGGACAAAGTAGGGTACATAAACACACGGGCTGTGAGCTTAAGTTTAAAGAAGAAGATATATTGGGAGCAGAGCTGAAGGTAACTTGAAGGATGTAAGCCAAAACTGTTGCTATAAATATGTTTGCCCCAGAAGCAACAAAGCCCACATGGAAGAAGCACACCAGCCTGTGCGATCATGAGGTGTCAAAGGGATCAGGTATAAGGCATCATCAGAACAAAAAAATCTTACCATAGTGAATGAGGGGAGGAGTGCGGAGTGGAGACCCAAAGCCCATTAGTAGGCCACTGGAGATCTCCTTGCAGAGGGGTCTCGGGGAGGACACGAGCCAGTCAGGGTGCGATGTAGCAATGATGAAAAATATAACTGTCCTCTAGTTCCTAAATGTTTTCTTCCCCACCCCCCCTCCCGCCACTATCATGATATGAATTCTACCTTGCAAGTCTGGCTAGACCAGAGGATGTAGACTGGTACAGATAGGAACTGGAAACACAGGGAGTCCAGGGCAGATGATCCCTTCAGGACCAGTGGTGTGAGTGGCGATACTGGGAGGGTAGAGGGAGAGTGGGTAGGAAAGAGGGAACCGATTACAAGGATCTATATGTGACCTCCTCCCTTGTGGACGGACAACAGAAAAGTGGGTGAAAGGAGACGTCAGACAGGGCAAGATATGACAAAATAATAATTTATAAATTATTAATGAGGGAGGGGGGAGCGGGGAGGGAGGGTAAAAATGAGGACTGATGCCGGGGGCTTAAGTGGAGAGCAAATGTTTTGAGAACGATGAGGGCAATGAATGTACAAATATGCTTTACACAATTGATGTATGTATGGATTGTGATAGAGTTGTATGAGCCCCTAATAAAATGATTAAGAAAAAAAATGGAATAAAGATAATGGAATTTTATATGTGTGTGTGTGTTTGCCCATTAACTTAATCATTTTACAAGTAATTGAGCTCTTGCATTCCATCTGATCTTGCTCAAAACATTGCAGAGCTAACCAAACACCTTGCAACAGAGTTTACTGCAGATGTTAAAAAGATAAACTACCTGCAGTTTAGAATGTAGAAGCAAGGATTATAGCCATTAAAACTCATGGCCAATTTGGAGTTTACAATTATGATAGGTTACAAGTCCTTCCAAAAATCAGTCAGGGTTCCAGTTCTTCCCAAGGCACTAATGTAGTAGGAATGCTGCAAGCTCACCAGCCAGATTTCTTTATAGAGCACTGGCTGTGAATAAAACTGTGGTCGAGCCAGGGAACATGCCAATTTTGATATAGGAATACCAAAATTTGTTGACCTTTTTCCATTCCATCATCAGCACTTAGGAGCGAGCCCTGGTGGCACCCAGGTTAAAGGCACTCAGCTACTGGTCACTGAACTACAAAGGTGTGGCTGACTGCTTCCTTCCTTCAAATCACAGCCTTGGACACACTACGGGCCATTCTGCCCAGGCCGGGAGTGTAGCCATGAGTCAGCATCGTCTGGCCGGCACTGAGTGAAGCAGCCTGGCTGTGCAGGCATCGGTTCATAGCCTAGGAGAGCCCCTGCCGCTCGGTCATGGCCCTGCAGCGCTGAATCACAGCCTCAGAAGACACATTCCAGTCTAATTAAATGCACTGTACAGCGTGGTTGATGCCCACGTATCCTGAACCTGCTGTGTGCCATCACCAGTCATGCTGCGTAGCCCGCGTGTTAACTGATAGTTATCTTAATAATCTGTCTGACAGATCCTAGACACACAGAACAGGTGGTGAAATTGTAAACGGTCATGAAGGGGTGAAATAGTGTTTCTGGAGCATAGCTGGGCCCCTTCAATTCCTTATGAAAGAAATGGTCAATGATCTACAAGTTCCTAGCAGTGTGTACGCACGCAGATTAGAGAGCTGCTCTCTGTAGGGACCGACTGGCCCGCACCCACACCTAACAGCCTCGCGAACGTGCCCTGCTCTTAAGACCTACTTTTGTATTGCCTCAGAGTAAAAGAGTCCATGAAGTTCTAAATTTGCATTTATTGAAAAAAATAAAAAAAACTTCTCAGGGTCAGTCAGTGGCATGACCGGAGGCCCTTAAGTTGCTGGATCACAGTCAAGGTCATGGAACAAGATACATATGAATTGTTGAATGGAAAAGCATTTTTTTCTCTGTAAAATTTCACCACAATAAAAAGACTTAAAATTGAAGGGGGGAAAAAAATTTTTTTTTTGATAGAGGATTCTATAGAGGAATTCTGATCAAAGTGTAAACTTGCAGAACAGAGTTTCACATTCTGGACTCCAGACTTTCTGGAGCCTGAAATCTAGATGAACCTCCCGAGACTGTGACGCCTTGACCATCTCTCAGTGTGACATCAAAAATATCGCCTGAAGGGGGGAGGGGGGGGTGAGGAGCTGATGCCGGGGGCTTAAGTGGAGAGCAAATGTTTTGAGCATGATGAGGCAATGAATGTACAAATGTGCTTGACACAGTTGATGTATGCATGGATTGTGATGCGTTGTATGAGTCACCAAACCGCAGTTTTAGCTGAACTGCTAAAGAATGTCTGCGTTGAACCTTACGTCAGGAAGTATAGTTGGGGAGTCAAAGTAACAGCGGCAATTGAAGAGATGGGGCGGGAGCTCCAGTGGGCAGGTGTCAGAGTAGACCAGCCTCTCACAACGGCAGGGTCTGTAGATGCAATTGTACGGCGGTAATATAGCAGGATTACAGTTCAGTCACAGAGAATAGGAAGGATAGGAGAGAGTGAAATAAAGGAGTCAGACACATTTCATGGTAGCATGCTCTCCTCAACCCCACTTGGTGGTCCACCTGGAGGTGGGAGACAAGAGAGGAGAGAAGGAGTGTATTTCTAATCAAGACTTAATACATTTAGGGGGTGCACAAGCCCCCCTGATTATATCATAATGGGAAGGGGTTGTACCATAGGTAATACATGCAATGAGAAGAGGACCATCTAGGGGTACACATGTGACAAGATGGGAGGACCCTAGATTCAAGATGGCAGCCTTACCTTGGTGGTCCTTGAGTGGGCTTTACCTTGTCTCCTTCAGGGAAGCCATCCACTATCCTTATCAGCAAGGAGTGGGCCCCACCCAGGGTGTTACAAACCATAGTGTCTGATGCTCTCAGGGAGATAACCTCTAAGCAGCTGAAGTTGACATCCAAGTGTATCGCCATTTATTATGTGTTGCAAGCAGCATCCTAGGTTTGGCATATATTGGGGGGGGGGGGGTTGCGGCCACCTGGGGAAAACCTTTCTGTATCCCACGGGCATGGAGTTGATGTGGATAGAGGAGGAGGGACAGCTCAGGAACAGGGTGACAATGGTTGTACAGCTCCAAGATGAGAAATACTGGTACTGAATTGTATGTGTGGAAACTCCAATTGTGATGTGCTTGGGCACACACAGTCCCAACAGATTTTTTTTTTTTTAAGTTTTGTTTTCCAAAAAGGGAGGAGAGGACCCTTTTGATTCTTGGGACACCATTATCACTTTCTCTGTCAGCATTCATATAGTGTGTTTTCTTCCTTCCTAGGCTGCATTTTATGCTAAATAAATTCTCAAAACTAATTATTGGGATGGCACCAGGCATCCGTAACCTTCTTCTCTCTTCCTCCCTCCCTCCAGGTTACCCGTTAGCTTTGTTTTATCGACATTACCTTTTCTACAAGGACAGCTACCTCATCCATCTCTTCCACACCTTCACAGGCCTCTCGATTGCTTATTTTAACTTTGGTAAGTGAACCGTGTTAGCAGGGACACTAGAATAGAGAGGGCTTGGGAAAGAAGCAGTTTGAACAAAACACCCTGGAGAGCACTGGGTGGCTGCAGAAGCTCTGGGTGATGCCTCGCCCTTCCTGTATATTCTCACTCACCCCTCAGCTAGGGGCACTGCGGCCAGACCCAGCCAGTTTCTCTCCACTGTTGCACTCACTGACTGACAGATCCCAGCAGTCCCTGCTCAGAATCAGTTCTCAGCTCAAGCATCAGAAATATGACCCCACCTGGAGATCCCTATGTTTATATCATTAACTCCTGCTGAAGAAGATCCATCCTCTCCCCCAACAGATTTCACTCTTAGCCCTTCCCAGAAGTGAAAACCTCATGATAAAGACAGTTCTGACAAAGTTCCAATAATTAGGTGAGGGATGAGTAACCTATATGATGCAGATACACGCAGGTTTAAGAAACCAGTCCGCCGAAAGTCCCCTTTTGCACAGCTGGCCTCCTGGTGATGAACGAACACCAACCCATCTCACATTTCTCTTGTGGGAAACCTAGTCCGTGCTGTATGGAAGCTGATGAGAGTTTTCGTGGGAGGAGCTCCACACTTCAGAGGGGGCTCTCTGGAGGGGCGCTCTCCTGGTCCTGAGCCATCCTTTCTGCCCAATAAAACCTTCTAACTAGTTGAATCATTGATTGGCCTTTCCTTTTGGCAAACCCTACCTCCCAAACGGGAGATTATTCCGGGAGCGGAAAAGAAAGATCCTGTGACCACAGTTATTTCTTGTATATCTTCTGTGGGGGTGACAGTCAAAAGAAGGGGGGAGTACCAGAACAGCAAACCAGGCTCACGTTTGCCCTCCAGGAACCCAGCTCTTCCACTCCCTGCTGTGCGTTGTGCTCCAGTTCCTCATCCTCCGGCTGATGGGCCGCACCATCACGGCCGTCCTCACCACGTTTTGCTTCCAGATGGTAAGCGTCTGTCCCAGGCAGCTCAGTTACTCTGGTCCCAGCCAACAGCAGTGACAGTGGGAGGAGGGCATGAGATCATGAAAACAGTGAGCTAATCTCCTCCCCAAACACTTACCAGGGGTATGACTTCAGGGAGGCCACCTCTCACAGACCCCAAGAACTCCACCTGCAACCCCAGTGAAATGCTCTACCTGCCTTGGATTCTGATCAGGATTAGCCCAGCCATATATGAGGGGTGTCGTTTAATGGCAAGGCAGGAGGCCAGCTCTGAGTGAACTACAGAATCTGAACATGCACATTCTGATCCCAGTGTGACCTCTCATTTCACTGTGAAACCTTGACCGGGGCTCTTCTATCTATTACTCCCTGTGTGATTTTTCCAAAGACTTAATGACAGAGACCAAGAGAAGAGAAGAATAAATTGGATTTCAGAGTCTGACAAAATCCAATAGGAATGATGGTAGAATATCTACTGTCCCCTCTCCTAGGTCTACCTTCTCGCTGGATATTATTGCACAGCCACTGGCAACTACGATATCAAGTGGACCATGCCACATTGTGTTCTAACTTTGAAGTTGATTGGTGAGTGGTGGGTCACTGCCTTCCCTTTACACCTAGGCTCCTCCCTGACGGGGCCCAAGACCTCACCTGTGCTCCCCCATTACACTCCCGGCTGTCCTCAGTGCGTCCTCTCCCTCTGCTGTACCCACGCCTTCTCTCTCTGCCCAGGTCTGGCGGTTGACTACTTTGATGGAGGGAAAGATCAGGTAAGTGCTCACTCCTCTGCCAAGGAGAGGGAAGGGCTTCACCAGAGGGAAGGTGGAAGACTGTTGTCACCAAGTGACACCACACCAGCCAGGGCCAAGGGCAGAACCTGCCCCTTCCTCACTTCCCAGCCGTGTGACCGCCCTGTTCCAGAGAGCACTGAGCACAGGTCAGCAGACCTAATTTGGCCAGAATCCAGCTCATACACCAAGTCCAAAGATCAGTGCAGAGGGCATTTAGAAAAGCAACAACTGGCCCGTTGCTAAGTTACCTCCCCACACATGCTCACTTCCAAGTGAAGCACCTGTTTCTCCACATCATTCCTACAAAGCGATGGCTATTTGAGGGCACCCCCACCCCCAGTTTATGAGGCCCAAGGGTGGGGGAACACGCAAACTGGCTCTCGTAGGGGAGAGTCAAGGCCCTCCTGAACCATTCATTCTCTTCTCGGCATAGGGCTCCTTGACCTCTGAGCAGCAGAGATATGCCATTCGGGGTGCCCCGTCCCTGCTGGAAGTGGCTGGCTTCTCCTACTTCTATGGGGCCTTCTTGGTAGGGCCCCAGTTCTCAATGAACCACTACATGAAGCTGGTGCAGGGACAGCTCACTGACATCCCAGGGAAGACACCGAACAGGTAACTGCCCCTCTGCACAGATGTCTCCCCAGAACAAAGCCCCTGCTGAGCTACCTTTCCCATGTCAGCACCTGGGCCTGGGTGTGCTCCCTGCTGGAAGCGGCCCCTCTGGCCTTGATCACGTCTGACCTGGAGTTGTGCCCAGGGTTATTACCTGAACCAGTCGGGTCCCTGTCGCTAAAACCTACTTTTCATCTCAATTTTTTAATGTTCAATATGTATTTTTCCACTGTGGGGTGTGTGTGTGTGTGTGTGAGAGAGAAACAGAGAAAGAGAACGTTTCCAAAAGTTTGTGGGAAAGTTGCATTATCTTTTAATTCCATTTTCCATGACCTCTGAAGTCCCCTCAGATATATCAGAGTAGAACATTTAAAGTTTCTAAAAGAGTCCCTTCACTAAGAATTTGCCCTCACCTGTGTCAGCATCAGCCAGCCCTGATAGGAAGGAAATTTGAGATTGGTTACTGTTACTGGTTACTGTTACTTCTTTTCGACGTGGGGCATTCAGTCCCCTGAGACCTGGTGTGTGCACCCTTCAGACCCTTGAAAAGACACCCACCCACCCTTCCCAGTGTGCTCTAAGCATGTAGCACCCGCAGCTCCTCCTATCCAAACACAAGGGGTAGCTCTCTTGACCGGAGACTGAGTGTAGAGTTCAGGCGGCAGCCCCGTTGCTCCCGCCCCAAGTGGACAGGCAAGCACAGAGGGTAAAGGGATACACCGCGCTCTGTGACCCCAACTTCCTTTCCAGTATCGTACCGGCTCTGAAGCGCCTGAGTCTGGGCCTGGTCTACCTGGTGGGCTACACTGTGCTCAGCCCCCACATCACAGACGATTACCTCCTCACCGAAGACTACGAGGTGAGTGGGCCCTACGGGCGCAGCGTGACCTCACCGCAGAAAGCAAGCGCCGGGATCCCCGTAGCTAGCGAACAAGCGGGCTGCACCATTGACAAACACCATGTTGGTCTTGCTCTCAATCTGTGAGTTGGTGTCAGTGCCAGCTGGCCGAGACATGGTCACCAGCCAGCACTGAAGGACCTTCGCGGGCACAGGGCTGTGCCAGGTGCACTCTCGCACCCCTTCCCTTCCCCAGGAGCTCCTCTGAGCTTGTTCAGTGCATCCACGTGACTCCTTGAAATGGAGAAACGGAGCTGCGTTTAGCCCCCCGCACCCCCAGCCTGTTTTCCTCTGACGGATGGGTTGGCGGCTTCTAGGGCAATGGGAAAGCAAGGGAAGGGAGGGTGCTGGCTGTCCACAGCCACCCTCGGTAGGTGTCCTGAAGTGGACGTTGGCCAGGTGGTAGTAAAGTCCCTGTCTTACTGCTCCACGTAGGCTTTGTGTAGAGGAGCTGAGGACAGTGCTGCTCCGGACTCTACAGGAAAGGAAGTGGGAGGGTGGTGCTGAGCCCTCCCGGCCCAGCTGGCAGGGGGACACCTGGCCGGAGTATTGTGACAGGCATGGTCAGCCACCGGTTTGCAAAGGAAGACTGAGAAAGGAAATGCGCTTGCTGCAAACGCGACGTCCGTAATGTACATGTTCTTTCTTCCCACAAGCACCACCCTTTCTGGTTCCGCTGCATGTACATGCTGGTCTGGGGCAAGTTTGTGCTCTACAAATACGTCACTTGCTGGCTCGTCACGGTAAGTAGAGAAGCCCCAAGGGGCCATCCAGACAGGCCGTGGAAAGGGGAGGAGTGGCTAGACCCCGGACCACTGTTCCTCCCCTCAGGAAGGAGTGTGCATTCTGACGGGCCTGGGCTTCGCCGGCTTTGATGAAAACCGCAAAGCCAAGTGGGATGCCTGTGCCAACATGAAGGTGTGGCTCTTTGAGACCACCCCTCGCTTCACTGGCACCATCAACTCCTTCAACATCAATACTAACGCCTGGGTGTCCCGGTAAGCCACTGGGGTGGTGGTGGTGGGAATGTGAGCCCCCAATCCTGCCTGCCTGCCACTGCGTCTCCGGATTGAGAGCAGGCATTCCAGTTGTCCCCTCTGTCCGTCTCTTCCCACTTCAGGTAGAACCCTCTCGACACACACCTGCAAGCTTAACTTTTGTCTCCCCACCCCTCTCATGAATGAAAAGCCAAGCAAGATAAGCAAGTGCCTTGAGGCTAGGGTTTCAGGCCCAGCTCTGGTTTTATGGTCTCCGCTGCATTGTTTAAAAGCATCTTTTGTTTGTTTGCTTGTTTGTCCCACCACTAGAGATGTAAGCAGAGAACTGGCCTGTCCTGTTCACCATTGTGGTCCCAGCATCAGACACTCAGTAGGCACACAGTCCTTATCTGTTGAATGAAGTGGCTTACCCAAGATCACCCAGCTAAGCCTTGGGTCTGTTTTCTGTCTCTAAACTGTGAGTCCTTAACTGCCTTTCATCTCTAAAGCTAATCACGTAGCACTAGTACTGCCTCCCTTACCCTTGATGGCCACAAGTGGGAGCCAGCTCCGCTCCACTCCTTCCTGAGGACACCGAGAACCTGTAGGCAGGGCCAACGGAGAAGCAAGGCCCGGTCTGAGGCTCTCTGCCCACCCCTTTCTCCAGTTACTTCTTCAAGAGACTCAAGTTCCTTGGAAATAAGGAATTATCGCAGGGTCTCTCGTTGCTATTCCTGGCCCTCTGGCACGGCCTGCACTCAGGATACCTGGTCTGCTTCCAGATGGAGTTCCTCATTGTGATGGTGGAAAGGCAGGTAGGTGGCCCTGAAGGGTCCTGAGGGCAAGGGAAGGGTGCTGAGGGGCAGGATTCTGGAGACAGGATTCTCTCCTTCCTCCCCAGGCGGCCAGCCTCATTCGGGAGAGCCCTGCCCTGAGCAAGCTGGCGTCCACCTCCACCCTCCACCCCCTCTTCTACTTGGTGCAGCAGACCATCCACTGGCTCTTCATGGGCTACTCCATGACCGCCTTCTGCCTCTTCACCTGGGACAAGTGGCTGAAGGTGAGGGCCTGCTCGGGAGGACGGGGGAACCTGTGATGGCTCGGGTGGTGAGGAACACCCCATGCCCTCCACCTCAGTGGCCTCTTTCCCCCGACAGGTGTACCAGTCCGTCTATTTCCTGGGCCATATCGTCTTCTTGAGTCTGCTAGTCATACTGCCTTATATTCACAAAGCACTGGTGCCAAGGAAAGAGAAGCTAAAGAAAATGGAATAACCTCATTTTCCTGGTAAGTAGGCAGCTCTGGAGCTAGACTCAAGACCACCAGGGGCGAGATGGGAAAGTTCTTATCTAGTCAGCTCAAGGCATGACGACCACCCCAGCCCCCATAAGTGGATAGGGGGTCCACTGAGACCCACAGGGTTTTCAATGGGTAATTTGAAGTCCATCTCTTTCTGGTGGCCCTGCTATCGCAGCAGCAACCCATGAACACAACCAGCAGACAGGTGATGGTTGTGCATGATGTGCCCGCCTGGGACTCAAGCCTAGGCCTCCCTCTTGCCTTGCGGAATGCTGTACAGTGGACACGTGTTCGTCCGTCCGGGTGACTGGGAGGGTCGTGGCTGCGGTTCCCGCCAGCAGCTGTGGTCCATCTTCTCTGCAGGTGGCCCAGAGCATGGCGGGGGCCCGATCGGTTTGTGTCCCTTTCACAGGACCCCTGCCTCGCCCGCCCGCCCCTGAGCACACAGAACACGGAGCCAGGGACTGGAAGACATGGCACTCCTTGCTGTGCCTCTGCTGACAGCCAAGTCTTCATCCGGGCCAGAGGGGACTCTGTGGGCGGAGCCGAGGGGCCTGTGTCCCCCTCTGGACTCCCCCAGCACGCTGCCTTATCTCTCCCCCTCTAGCCAGGAAGCTGTTGGGTTTTTCTTCTGCCAATTTACTATGATTGTATTTGTGCCCCTACCACCCCCACCCCCATGGGAGGGGGGAAGAGACGTGGGGTACACGGCCCCGCCTTTTCTACCTTGGAACTGTACCGTATAAAATCACTCTGTTCCGTTTTTCACCCCTTGTCCTCTTGGCTGCCTTCTTTGCAACAAAAGCTCCCCCACCTGCCATTGCTGAAAACATCTGGGCCCTCTCCTTTAGAGCGCTGCACTGCCCACAAGGGCACCTGGAGATAAGGCCCACCTTCCAAGCCTGGAGCCATGCTGAGAACGTGGGGGAACCTCCTGTCCTCACCTGAGGTCTGAGGGGAGCAATACTTGACACTGTAAGACCCTGAGAAGCATAGGCACTTATAGGCCCACCCCCAAGAACACCCAGGTTTACATAAGAATTGTTTTTATAGGATAAACTAATGACCCATGTACAGCCCTGGCTTCCAGTCTCCAGTGTCGACGAAGGAAGGTCATCTCTCAGCAGTCAGCTCCGCAAGAATCAAGGGATGTCAACAGTCTGTGTTTTGGAACCAAGGGTCTCCTGTCAGACCACCCCCCATACTTCTTCAAAGGCAGTGGTCAGTTTTGCACAGGTGAGGGCAGCAGAAAGGGGGTAGTTGCTGATGGACACCATCTTCTCTGTGTATTCCACATCGACCTAGGGAGGAAGGAATTCTGTCGGCCACTGCTAGCCAGCACACAGCAGAAACAAAGCCCGACAACACGGCTGCGGCTACTGTCCCAGGGTGCGATCTGGGACCACGGTAAAAGAATGAAGGGTCCCAGCTCTACTAGAGACCCCAGAAGTCCTCAAAGGCCAGGTCCTGGGACAGGATGTGGGACCACCAGTTCACGTTCTGGTTCTCCCTTGAACGTGTCAGAACAAGGCTTGTCCAACTGCCAACTGCTCTCTGCTTCTGTGTACCAAGTCTCAGCTCAACAGTGGAGCAGGTATTGCCCACAGAGGACTGAGAAGCAAGCAAGCATGCACACACACACGGTGTCCTCAGACCTCCTACACCCTCACCTGGCCATGGGCAAAGGCCCCCACAACAAAGACAATGGGGTCACTGCTGGGCACCAACTCTCGCACATCGCTAACGACTGGACTGGAAAAAGAGGTGCCAATTTTCATACATCCAACTGGGAAGTGATCTGACACGGGATTCTTAATTGCCTTTAAAAAGAAAAGAAATGGATATCAGTTCCTGTCACATGTTCTCAAAACCCTCCCTCCACCCAGTGGGTTCCACCCCTCACCTTCAACAGCTTCTGGGGACCGTCAGCTGCTCGCA